CTTAGACTAGAATAGAAGCTTTTACAAGAGCCTCAGCCCCTCTGTGGCTGAGGGTCCCATTGCTAGAAAGTGGCAGAAGCAGGACTGAATTCTGAGTGGAGGTCCTTTAGGGAACTCTGCACCCCCACGGACTCTCTGCATTGGGCCTGGCCCAAGTTTGGACCTTAGTAAATATTTGTGGAATGAAAGAATGATGTTTTTGCTTTGGGTCTGAGGCAGAGCAAGGATGATTGTGTGGAGAGTGCCGAAGTCAACTGGAGGTCAGTTCACTCTCTGAGTAGCTGGAGGATGAGGTGTTACCCCACCCGCTGGAGGGGTGGAGGACTCTTCCTGTCTGCAGTGTTGGCTTGTCCAAGGTGTGGGCCTCTGTTCAGCCACATAGGGCTATGTGGCTTTGGGCAAATTGCTTGACCTCTCTGGTTCTATTTCTTCCTCTTTAAAATGGGGATAATAAGACCTACATCAGAGGTTATGAGAATTAAATGAGTGTGAAGTGCTCAGCAAGTCCTAACATGTAAGAAGTGCTCATAAATGCCTGTGATCATCTTAGTATTGTTGCCCATTCTTGCCACCTTCTTCTGCCCTGAAGAAAGACAGCCTTTCTCACCTGTCACAAGGTTTCAGAATTGGAAGGGGGCTAGGAATGTGGGGAGTCTCTCAAGATAGGATAAAGAAAGGGAGGCCCAGAGAAGGATGGGATGTGCCCAAGGCACACAGTAAGGGCATGGCTAAGTGGGGATTGGGGCCCAGGGATCTGCCCACCCAGGCTAGTGTTTCAATCCTAGACCTAGAATTACCCCAGGGTCACATCATTCTTCCTGCAGGTGCTTCTGCAAACTCACCCAGCAGCAGGTGGGGGCTGGGCCCTAAAAACAGCACAATGATAGATGGTTCCCACACAGGCACAGGCTCAGCCTAGGGCCTGAGGCCTTTTCCTGTTCTACATGCTCTCGGCCACCCTGGAGCCAGGGGCCTTCCTCCCCAGTCTCCGACAATGCCCCAGGTGTCCAAAAGGATCTGCTCCTTACAATAAGCAACATCCTCTGGCCAAATAATTATAATTCCAGCTGGGCTATTTATAGCCCCTGATAACACACGTGTGTATGTGCAGTCGTGGAAGGCATGGGGCATGTGTGTAGTTTTCGCTAACACTCTGCCCTTGAGAGTCCACCTAAGGACAGGCTGCCCCTGGGCCTTATTCTGACTGGAGTCTCAGACACAACAATCAAGATGTTTTCTCTCCCCAGGATAAGTCCTGTGGACATCCGGCCCACCCCATCCAGTCTGTTTGCTGGAACTGAATACTCTCCCCCACACCCAAACCTAAAGCCCAGTGTAGCTTCTCCTTTTTCTAAAAGGGGAAGAGGTCCTTCTGGGGTGCTTGGGGTGTTAGGAATTGAGCAATGACCCTCCCCAGCTGTCTCTGAACCCCAGTTCTGTGTCCCCCTGTGAGTCTGCAAAGAAACTGCTTCTTGGGCTGAAAAGCCCCTCCCCACTGCTTTCCTGGGGAATTCTGTGGTCCCTAACACCACTGCTTGGACCGGGGAGGCCCTGGGCTGGTGCCCCGTTGGAGGCCCTCCTGCTGCTTGCTCCCACCCTGCCCCATCACCCTGTGCTCACGGACACCTGACCTGCCCACAAGCTAGCCGCATCTTGCCTACATGTTCACCCCACCCCGTCCACACCTCTGTCCACTTGGCAGCTCCGCCCTGCTCGGCTCTGGGCTCACCCTCCTGCTTCTGCTTCCACTCCCCCAAGACCTGTGGACCTGGCCTCCCCCTAGCCCCCAAGGTGTGTATGCTTCTGCAAACACTGTTGGATCTGGATTCGGCTCACACCCTTGGGGGTAGTTCTGGGCTAAAGATAATGTTGAGGAAAGGGAAAACAGGGTATCAGTTGGGAGAAGTGCTGGTGGCAGCTGTCATATGGCCGGCTGGGGGAAATGGGGAGTTAATCGAGGGTCCACTCTTTGGGTGGGTTTTTATTCTTCCTCAGAGAGCCCTTTCTGTGACTACTTCCCACTTTCATTTATTGGCACAGCCATAATTCAGTAGCTCGGTTTCCTCTGGGGGCCTTGGGTGGATCACTTTTCTCTCTGAGCCTGACTGTCAGATCTGTAGGACAGTGGGCTTGGGGAGTGGAATGCCTCCCTGGTTAGAAACCAAGGAGCCCACTCATGGACCAGAAACTCAAATGTCCATGGGACACTGAGGGCAAGAGAGTGAAGCAGACTGGGGGAAACATTAGGGAAAGGTGGGGACTGTGGCCAGCTTGAACACCAGTGCCCCATGGGAAGAGGAGGCTGCTGCCTAGTTCCAGTTGACAAGTGCCTCGGGAAAGCTGTGTGTGCTTGCGCTCAGCTGTGTCCAGCTCTTTGCGACCCCCATGGACTGTAGCCCACCATGCTCCACTGTTTGTGGAATTTTCCAGACAAGAGTACTGGAGTGGGTTGCCATTTCCTTCTCCAGGGGATCTTCCTGACCCAGGGATCAAACCCAGGTCTCTTGCGTCTCCTGCATTAGTAGGCAGATTCTTTACCACTAGTGCCATCTGGAAAGCTGGGTTTAGTGTTAATGCTCTGATTTTCAAAGAGAAGCTAGAAGTCAGAATTTTTGTATCAAATTCTTGGTCTTTAAATTTTGGCAATCTCAAAAAAAAAAAAAAAAGTAAAATACTTTGAGGTTCAAGTAAAATATATTTGAAGGCTGAATATGGCCTGTGGGCTGCCAAAATCTGAAATTTTTTAGTACAGTGTCTAAGTGCTTGAGTTTAATTCTGACTCTAGTATTTTCTGTGAACTTCAGTGAGTTACTTAACATCTCTGTGCCTCAGTTTCCTCATTGGTGAGATAGGAATAAAAATAACAGCTGGCTTACTGGGTTGTTAGCCATGCCCATCCTATTTATTATTCTTCTAGTCCTAATTAGATCCTTCTTTACCTGAAGCCCCATGCTTCAGGTTCTGAGTTTATACCCTCCAGAACTTCAGGCAAACCACTTTCCCTTTGTTGACATCTGTATTTCTCCCTGAAAAGGAGATGAGCATCTTGACTAAAGAAGTTCTGAAGTCTCTGCTCACCTTGGCAATGACTTCCCAAAAGTCTGGGATTCCTAGATGTGGCTCCCTCTCACATGCGGGTGCTGGGAGTGGGAGGCTCTGGTGCATATCTGTCCTTCTTACCCTCTGGGGCTTAGAACTCCACCCTTGCAGACATATTCTTTGGGGGAAATGTCTTTGCTACCGCCTCACACTCTGCTTTAAATATGCAAGCATGCCAAGATTGGGCCACAGCTGTTATCAGTCATTCACACTTTAGTGAGAGAGCATTCAAAGCAGCCTTCTCTGTTCTATTTTCACTCCTAAGAAATGTCTTTTGAATTGCAGAAATGACTTAGAGACCTATCTAGTTCCCAGGTACCAAGCCTCAACTTTCAGAGCATTTCACATAAATTATCTGTAGTTTTGCCTCAACTCTGGCAGGGAGCTGTTCCACTTCTGTGTTTTACAGCGAGGCATCTGAAGCTCAGAGTCTATGTAACTCCCAGATATTGGACTCCTTTGCAGGATGAGCCAATTACAAAGCTACAGCAGCTGCCTCTCTCCTGATTGGGCCAGGCTTTCAGCTCTTCTGGGTAGGGGTAGGGAGATAGGCTGTAAAACAGGGAAAGGGAATCTGGAAAGAAGTGGCATTATTATCTTGGGTTCAGGCAATGGCAATGGAAGGGGCATATCCATTTGGATCCTGTACATATTTCCAAACCCTCCTTCCCTGTCAGTCCACAACAACCCTTGAGATGCCAAATAAAATGAAAACATCACTAATGTCTAGTAACTATAGCTATCCCGCCGATATCTGCAGAAGGCATGAGAGCTCACATATCGTGTTCTCCTCTTCCCCTCATTCTGTCCTCTCACAACCCCACTGTAGCTAATATTTTCCTCACTGCACACATGAGGAAACTGAGGCTCACAGCTAGACAGAATTTTCTGTTAAAGGGACAGTGCTTTAGGGGGTCAACATGGTTACATGCTGGGAGACGGGGGTAGGGTAAAGAGGACCAGGGGATGGCTTCATTTGCTTAATGAAACAAAATGAATGAGAAAACGTCTCAGAAGACCAGGTGGCAGGCAGGTGCCTGGGTGAAATGACCTTTTCTGCACACCTGTCCTTGTCCCTGAGACACCTTGGGTATTCCTGCTTTACGCCCTTCCACGTGCTGGGCTCCTGTCTGTCCATCAACCCCAAAGACTCTCCTTCCTTTAAGAAGTCTCTTGACTATCCCCAGGAAGGTCACATCCTCTTTCCTTCAAGTGCCCTGAAGGCTGGCTTGGCTTTACCCTTTGTCCTGTGGGGTTACTTTGTCAAGATGTAGGACTTGTCTACCCAGCTAGGCCATAAGCTCCCAAGGGATGCTCTGTCTTCAGCATACAGGTGACACAGAGCACCTGGCACAGGCCTCACACGGGCAGATGCTCTGATGAGGGGGGTGCGGGGCACGCCGGCCCCAGGAGTGGGAATAGATGCCGATGGCCTCCAGAGGGGTGGTCCAGGGCAAGAGGCTGCTGTTCCCAAACTGCCTTCTGCTTCTCCCCGCTGATGTGCTGAGCACGGGAACTGCAAGTGCCAGGGGCCAGGCCTGGGCAGAGCCACGGTGCCTGCAGTGAGGGGACAGGAGCTGGGGTCAGCACACATGTGCCAGCTGGGAGAGGGATGCTTCGTGCCGGGCCCACCCTGCTGCCTGCCTGCCTGCTGTCTCGCCTACGCCTCATCCAGCTCTACCTGGGGAGGCTCTTGTGGCTCCTCCCACACAGCCTGGAGGGAGCCGGCTTCACGAGCAAAAGAAGAAGCTGAGGCTTGGGGAGGTCAGCTGACTGGCCCTGAGCTTGTGGCTGGGGAACCCATATCTGTGAAGCCCCAGGCCGAGGTTCTTCCCTACTCGGGTGGGTATTGGGAGTATTGCTGGCTCAGGTGGGTGACGGGCTCTCGTCTCTCTGAGCAGGCCTGGTGACAGCGTTCAAGATTGCCACGCCCTATTCCCTGTACGTGTGTCCCGAGGGGCAGAACGTCACCCTCACCTGCAGGCTCTTGGGCCCCCTGGCCAAAGGGCACGACGTGACCTTCTACAAGACCTGGTACCGCAGCTCGCGGGGCGAAGTGCAGGTCTGCTCGGAGCGCCGGCCCATCCGCAACCTCACGTTCCAGGACCTCCACCTGCACCACAGTGGCCACCAGGCCAACACCAGCCAGGATCTGGCCCAGCGATACGGGCTGGAGTCGGCCTCCGACCACCACGGCAACTTCACCATCACCATGCGCAACCTGACCCTGCTGGATGGCGGCCTCTACTGCTGCCTGGTGGTGGAGCTCAGGCACCACCACTCGGAGCAGCGGCTCTTTGGAGCCATGGAGCTGCAAGTGCAGAGAGGTGAGCCCCCGCTCTGTGGGTCGGCCAGGGGCGGCTGTCACTGTGGGGATGGTGTCTGAGCTTGTCCGGGAGGATGAGCAGAGGACGGAGTGGCTGGTGGGGGGGTGGCGCTGTGTGTCTGGTGGTGTGACACTGTGCCAGGGGGTGTCTGATTCTGTTTGGGTGGCGCTGGCACTCCAGGGGTGGTATGGGATGTGGAGCTGTGAACACCTCTTTCTGGGTCGCTGGGTATGGTGGAGAGGAAGGGCATACTGGGCTCTGTTTATGACAGTGGGGTTTCTTAATGGGAGAGAGTATAGGAACCGGTGGAGAAGGAAATGGGAATCCACTCTAGGATTCTTGCCTGGGAGATCCCGTGGACAGAGGAGCCTGGCGGGCTCCAGTCCATGGGGTCGCACAGAGCAGGACACGACTGAGTGACTAAGCATATGAACTTGGGCTGGGAGTGTGTCTGCTCACGACAATTCCAGGGCTGTGATATATGACCTGCGGTGTGAGTTAGGAGTGAGTGTGTGTGTGTGTGTTTGTGTAGGTGAGAAGACAAGGGGCAGTGGACTAGACAGAGGTGTGGGCAGGTATCCACACACCCATGGGGGTGTCATGGCGATGGGCGGGGCATGCCTGGCTGTGAAGTGAAAATATGCCTCTGTGTGAGTGTGTGTGTGTGTGCGCGCGTGCGTGCAGCTGGGCCAGCATTGCCAAGGGGACACGAGCAAAGGTATCTGTGACAGGAGCAGGGCATACCAGCCAGGACAAGTCTTCCTGGCCTCCAGGGTCTGACGCCCACTTAATGACCCTTCTTTCTGCTCTCACAGGCGAAGAAACACCATCCAAGTGCATCGCGTACCCACCCTCCTCCAACGAGAGTGAAAGTAAGGAACCATCTCTTGCCTCCTCTGGATTCTCTGTTCTCTGCCCTCACCCTGGACCCAGACCTCATTCTGAACTCCAACCTCATCACTCCAAGCCCACAAAACTCCATTCCTCCTTTGCTGCCACCCTTCCCTTTTGCTTCCTCCTTCACCTGAGCCATTGGGCTGCAGCCCCCAGAAGCCCACTTCTAAGGGCCCTTCTAAGGCCTGAAGCTTAAGGAAGCTGGCTTGAGTCCTACCCCTGACTTTTGGGTGAGGCTGTGCCCTGGCAGTGACCTTGGGCCAAGTGCCCCCATGATAGATACTGGGTGCTATAGGCTGCCAAGCTTGTTTTCAGTGGGGACCACTCCTGCCCACCAGCCCTCTGCCACATGGGAAGGAGGGCGGTATGTGTGTGGGTCCTCCTGGCTTGGACTCAAACTTGTTCTATGTGTGTGGAGAGGGCGGAGGCAGAGGCAGGGGAACAGAACGACCTTTCCTAAAGCTCCTACTATGTCTCAGGCACTGTGCTAACTCCTTCTAAGGACTGGTATCTCAATGGCTTCTTACAAGAACCCTGTGAAGTAGGTGTCACCAACTTCATGGCACACTCATGGAAACAGAGGCCCAGAGAGGTGACATAACTGACCTCAATTCACACATCTGACAAGGGAAGTGCAGCTGGCACTGTGCTCACCTCACACCTTCTGGAGGTGAGGTGAGCACAGCTGGGGAAGGAGACTGGATGCACAGGGCGGTGGGTGGCAGTCAGCCCCCTGGTGTTTGCCCAGTGGTGCCCATGGAGGGTAGGGGCATTGCTCCAAGGGATGCCTGGGCACTAGCAGTCCAGGCGAGAATACCCAGCAGCTTGGAGACAGCAAAGGGGAGATGTCTTAGGGGTACGCCCTCTTCTGACAGGAGGGGTTCTTGGCTTCCTTAGCCTTCTCTCCATTAGTATTTATTGGGCATCCGGTCCGGAGCAGTCCCTGCCTAGGTCCTGGAGACACGAAAGTGCAGGCCTTCTCCCTGCCCTCCAGGAGGACATACATCACAACTGAAGTCAGGAAGCTCAGCCACAGCCAAGCCCCCACTCAAAGGCCATGGTGACTTTCTATTCACACTACTCCTTTTTTTTTGAAGCAACAAACAGACTAGCCAGGAATAAAATTAGAACACACAGTCTGAGCCAGACCCACATGGAACTAAGAAACTAACAACAAGCCCCTTCGCCTACACCACAAGCTCATGTGTGGCCTCGTGCCAAGCTGCTGCCTTCCTCACTTCCTCCGCTGGTGGCTCCCTGGGGAGGGTGGAGACCCCCCCCTCCCCGCCACCCCACACCCCCNCACACCCCCGGCAGCCCCTTCCTGCCCATGCAGCAGCCTCATGACTGTGTGTGCACACACATGCTGCGCACAGGTCAGGGTGAGCCTCACCTGGTGGGTCCATGAGTGTTCACTTCCCCATTACCCCTTCCACTACGAGCAACCCCCCAGTCCCACTTCTGCCTCCAGGGGCTCCTGCAGAACAACTCTGCCACTGCCCCCATTTCACAGATGGAGAAACTGAGGTTCAGATGGATGAAGTGAGTGGTTCCCAGTCTCCCAGAGCCAAGAGGAGAAGCCAGAGCAACCTGGTTCTCCATGTGCAAACCCTGCCTGAGTGCTGGGGCCCTCCCCCTCTGTCAGCACTCATTTTCTGAAAGTCAGCTGTCTTGGACACAGTGACAAGAGATGCCAAAGGGGACAGTGTCAGAGAAACCAGGTGTGAAATGGAGAGGGAGTGGCGATCTGGGTCATTTTTCTTGCTCTAGACTCGAGAGCAGCAGCTGTTGGGGTTAAGGGAACAGAAGTCACCTGGGAAGTTCCAGGAGTCTGACTGATAAGAGCCCAAGGGTAAGGCAGGACTTGACTGCTAAGAGTAGGTCAGGCTTCCTTTGCTGGGCACCTCAACTTTCAGGTTTTGACATGTTCCTTCCTCTCCAATTCATGGGATGTGCAGTCTCACTCTGCTCCCTGCTTCCCTGAACTACTATCTGCAGGGAATTGGCTTCTTAATGGCCACAGGGACATGTTCGCTTCTGTCCCAGTTGTCAAGGGCAGGAGTAAAGCATCAATCTGAAAGCTTCTGAAAGGCTGGAGTCCCCTTTCAGAGTCTTGGTTCTGGAGGTCTGGAGACGACAGCTGTGAGGAGTCTTGGCGCTAAGGTGGAAGTGGTCTCAGATGAAAAGAAACCTAGCTATACTTTGGGGTGGGATGTGGGTGCTTGACAGTGCTTCTGTCCTCTGGGTACCGTGTGTCCACTGAACAATGGCAGCACGCGTGTCCCTTTCCAGCTCACAGGGAGGCCCCATGTTATCAAAGGTGGTGAGTCAGGGCTCAAAGACTGAATGCTCACAGGGCCAGCGAGCTGGTGGGGAAGACAGTACAGAGACGCAGAGACTGGTGAAAACCCAGCCGCCACTGTGTACATGCAGTTCCAACTGTCACACGCCAGGAGAGGGGCCCAGGGTTGCCAGAGCTACTAAATTTTCAAGCAAAGTCAGAAGTCCAGATTTTACTTGAGCTCTCAATTTTAAAAAGTTGGCAACTCATTAAAAAAAGTTAAGTACTAAGCTGGCCATATTTGAAACCCGAGTCTGTTCTAATGAAAGGCAGTGTGGTGAAATGGTTAAGAGCACAGATCCTGAAATCAGTCAAGTTGCCTAACCTCCCTGTGCCTTGGTTTTTTCATCTGTAAAATAGAGATGATGGTTATATGTATACTTTTAAGGTTGTTCTGAGGCTAAATGAGGTACTCTGTGTAAAGAAAGCATTAAGAACCATGCCTGGCACAGAGTAAGTGCTGTGTGTATGTTGGCTATTATTACTTCTAATGTGCAGTTCTAGGCCTCACTTCCCAAATCATCTCATCCATTCCCCTGTAGCAAGGCAGGATGGCAAGTAGATGGCAGTGGACGGTGGACGCATATCCTGTTCTCTGACAGTCTGAAACATCTGCCTGATGATCCATGTGCTTAGGAGGTCCCAGGGCTGACTGCTGGGTCCTGCCGTCTGCTGCCACTTACCTCTGGAAAGACCCCCCTGCTATAAGACAGGGGCTCCACAGCCAGCCTTGGTACCTGATCAGTTAATGATGTTTCCAGCCAAGAAGCTCTTTGAGTTTTCCTTCTCTAATTGCAGTCCATGGGGTTGCAAAGAGTTGGACATGACTTAGCGACTGAACAATAACAGCAGCAGCACACTGCAGCCCCGATCTCCTAATATCCTGGGGGAGTAGGAAGGCAGCTGGTATATGAAATCCTCTGAAGGCCCAGGTCAGCTTGAGGTGGCCGGGGAGGTGATAAGAGAGAGGTGGGATGAGGAAGCTGGTACTGAAGGAGCCTGGGAGCCCCAAGTTGCTGAGGGGCTGTGGCTTTTCACTGAACCTGCGCCAGGAGGCTGGACAGCCCATCTCCCCGAGAAGCAACCTCTCCACCCCGCAGCACAGCAGGATGTATGGTTTCATCCAGCCCCCTCCCTGGAACCAGGCAGTCCTACTGAACGCCTTCCTCCAAAAGCACCCTCGGGGTACTGACAGGCCCTGGACAAAGACCCGCTGAGCAGACCGAGCCCCTTCTATCCCACCCGGCTCTGTAAGGGCCTGGCACACTGCCTGTGAGTGCTGGCTGGGCAGCTGCCTCTGCCGGTGCCTGATCGCCTTCTCGGCATGAGCCTGGCACCGGATGGCTACAGGGCCAGACCCCTCCCCAAGTCTGCCCCAGGTACTGGCCACACGTGGGGGGCAGGGTGGGCAGCTGTGGCGAGGCTGTGCTCTGCAGAGGAGCCCATGGTCTCAGAGGGCAGCTGGCCCACAAAACTCTGCCCAAACCCTGCTCCCTGGGCCTAGCCTCAACTCCTAGCCCAGGCTGTAAGGAAACCAAGACCTGATCCCCTAGAGGGGACAAAGAGAGGGAGTCTTTGCTTGGGGACCACAGTCAGGAGAGAGGTTGGGCCAAGATGCTCAGTAGTCATTGACTGACTACACCATTTGCTGCTTAATGCCAGTCTGGAGGAAACCTGCTTTGATGACCAGAAAAGGGTGCTTTGCAGCCGGTTTCTCGGTGCCCACAATAAGGTCCTGTGATGGGGTTCAGAGATACTCAGATGTCTGAATTAGAAAATGTTTTACTTTCAGTACTCTGCATCAAAGTGCAGCCTCGCTAAGATATGTGGGGTGCCTGCTTTAATGTGGAGCTGAACTTGCTTTGTAACAACACAGCAATTGTCCCTGTACCAGCGGGTACTTCTAACGCACCCGAAAACAGCTTTTTCTCTTCCGAGGTCTGAACAAGCCCTCTGAAAGCTTGTTTACACTGTCGGGTTGTTCAGGAATACAGTGAGATAAAACACAAGACTTTATACCCAAATAAGCAGTGCAAAGGCACACTGAGCCCATTCACCTTCCCAAAGCTCCCAGGGCCAAGCTGACGCTGTGACAAGGTATTCTACCCCATTGTTTTTCTGTTAGAGGGAAGCGCTAAAATTGGGAAGGAAAAGCATTTATGCTGGTTGTGGTCTGAGGGCACGTCTGTTCCCAGCCAAACTCCTGGAGTCAGCAGATGGACTGAAATAAAACCTCCCATGCTGTGGATGGGACCATGAACTGGTACAACTGTTTTTTTTTTTTTTTGCAGGACAATTTAGCAATAGTCTAAAAAAAAAAACACACATACTCTTTGGCTCAGCACTTTCACTGCTAGGTTTTATGTACTGATGTACTTGCCTGAGTGAGCAAAGATGCCTCCACAAGTTCATTGTTACATTATTAGTTATGCTGAAAAATGGAAGCAACCTACATACCCACCAGGAGGGGACTGTTTCAATAAGCTTAGGTGAGCCCCATGATAAGCCCTAGGCAGAATGAGCTAGATCTCTGTGCCAATACAGAGAGGTATCCAAGCTGTGCTAAGTGGGAAAAGCAGTTGTCACGTGATCCCATATATGCTGTACATGCGGAGAATGTATCTAGATTATGTCTCTGGAGGGGACCCAGGTACAGGTGGAGGAAGAAAATGTTGAATTAAAAAAAAATGTAAATTTTTTTGTGTGTGTAATTTCCAAAGCTTAAAAAAATTTAAATTGGACAAGGATTCACATTTCCCTAGTTCCTGCCCGAAGTGTTTCCCCGTAAGCTACATGTGAGATCACTTTTAGAGGCCCTGTCCTGAAGCCAAGGGGCATAAACAGGGCTTTTCATTCATTTATTTTTCATTGTGATAGAACATATATAACATAAAACTGCCATTTCAACCATTTTTAAGAGTACGATTCAGTGACATTAATTACATTCTCAGTGTTGTGTAGTTATCACCACTCATCTGTTTTCGCAAGTTTTTCATCTCTCGGGCTTCTTTCAGCCTTGAACTCTGTGACATGGGGTCTATGAAGGGCCTGCTCTCCTCTTCAGGGAGCAACCAGTGGTCCAGGTGGTTGAGATGTTTCCTGCAGGCTGTGATGAGGACCCTTCTCTTTCTCCCCTGTAGCTGCCTCAGCTGTAAGCACCTGGCCTGATTTCTGGGTGCTCTGGCCCTCTTGGGGTTCCCAGACCTTCCATGCCTCTGCAGGTCACTGCGGGTCTAGCTGTGGGGCCTGGGTAAAGGTGGGTCCCCGTGTTGCTGGGCCTTCCCTCTCTGGGCCTCAGTTTCCCTCAGGAGGAGCAATAGGAGTGGGGCCTCACTTTGGCTGCCTCTCTGTCCATTCAGGCATCACGGCTGCTGCTCTGGCTACGAGCGCCTGCATCGTGGGTATTCTCTGCCTCCCCCTCATCCTGCTCCTGGTCTACAAGCAAAGGCAGGTGGCCTCCAACCGCCGTGAGTATCCCCATCTGCCTGGGCTAGGTGGGGTGTGAGTGACCTGCCCCAGCGTCCCGCTCAGCCACAGGGAAGAGCCAAGGCAAAAGGCTGACCCAGTTCTGCTCTTCAAGAGACAAGAGCTGGGCTCTGCGGTAGAGAGGAGGGGACCCACTGGCCCCTGGCAGTGCTGGCTTGATACTGAACAGGGATCTGTTGAATGAATGAGCAGTCATATGGAGTAGCTGAAACTGGTTTATAAAAGTGCTACCACCTGGAGATTGTTGGGGCACCTGCTTTAACATATAGGTGGGTTTGTCTTCGTTGCAACGGTTGGGACAAAATGACCTTTGGATTAACAGAACTGGGAGGGATCTTAGAAATAACTCGATTCAACTCTTTCCTTTTACAGGTCACAAACCTAAGGTCAGCAGGGTTAAATAACTAACCGAAAGTTATAAAACTTAGTGAGTGGCAGAGCTAAGACCCAGACTCAGAGCTTTTCAACTCAGTGGTTTTCAGGGAACATAGTTCCACTGCATAATAAAAACACTCAGCATGAGCGCAATAGCTGAGGACCCCCAACTAATAGGGTTGCTGTGCCAGGGACCATGCCAAGCCTGCTACGTACATTCTCTCACGTGCTCCTCATAACAAAGTCTAGTCCTACTATTGGCTCCGTTTTAAAGCTGAGCAAACTGAGGCACAGAGCAGTTAAGGGACTCCCTTAGGGACCCCCTTAGTGAGTATGTGGTGGAGCCGGGCTTCGAGTTGTGACCACAGATACCTTTTCACTTGTCTCTTCGGGTGACGGTGCCCCGTGCCCTTCCTTTGACTCCACTCATGAGCCTTGGCCAGCCTCAGTCCTCCTGGAGCAGGAGGGCGGGGGCCCTTGCGTGGTCTCCCCCACCTCTTCCCGCACCGCTCCCCACCCCTGTTGTCTGAGGCAGGAGGTACCTGAGGGGGGCTTTGGCTGGACTGGACCAACTGGACATCTCTTCAGTGGTCAGCCTCCCCCACCTCTCAGGAGGCCCTAATTCCTCTCACAAAGGGGGTTGGGGCTGGGGCTGGGGTGGGGGAAGGTGAAGGGATTTGGAGCAGAAAGAAGAACCCAGGGGATGAACTAGGAGAGGCATGGCTGCAGAATCACCCTCAGCTCCTGCTCATCTGTGGAGTGCATCCACGGGGGTGGGGAAGGGACGAGGAGGGGCCGTTTTCAGGTAGGCTTGACTCCCAGCAGAAGAGGTGCTTTCTGTCCCCCCTTACTCCAGACCACAGGTCTGCCTCCATCAGGGAACAGGAAACTGAAAGTGAAGTGGCTCAGTTGTGTCCGACTCTTTGTGACCCCACGGACTGTAGCCTACCAGGCTTCTCCATCCATGGGGTTTTCCAGGCAAGAGTACTGGAGTGGGTTGCCATTTCCCTCTCCAGGGATCTTCCTGACCCAGGAATTGAACCCAGGTCTCCCACATTGCTTTACCCTCTGAGCCACCAGGGAAGCCCCAGGAACTGGGAAACAAATTCCCAGCAGAGGTGGGCACGGGGTGGGGGAGGGGCACTGCTGATCCTCACGGGGCCCCCAGGGGTTGGGCAAGGGCTCTGCCTGTGTCCCATGCTGGAGGAAGAAAAACCAGAGAGGGGACACCCCCAGGCCGGAACGCTGTGGCCGTGTCCTGAGGACATGGGGAGCCTGGGGTCAGCCCCCAGTATCTCCTGCTGCAGGTACTGGGAGACCTGCAGACTGAGGGCTTCACAGAGAAAGGGACAGATGAGCTGGGTGCTGAAAAACTGCAGTGAAAGAAGGCTTGAGGGGGTGTGGTGGGCCAGCCAGGGCTGTGCCATGACCAATGACGAGCATGCCTTCTGAAACTCTATAAACAAATTCCATTTCTGTGATGGACAACCACTTCGTAGCATCTTGTCCCCAGATTTAATACATGCAGTAACAGGAAGGTATCAGTCATTTATCTCCTAATAAAAGTATTTTTGAGGCTAGTCCTCTGTCCTCTCCAAAAAAAGACTTATATGGTTGAAGGTTTAGAGACAGACAGACGAGATGCCAGAGGGGACGAGTCTAGAGAAACCAGGTATGAAATGGAGAGGGAGTGGAGATTCGGGTCATTTTTCTTGATCCAGATTCTAGAGAAGCAGCTGATGGAATTATGGCAGTGGAAGTCACCTGGGACATGGCAGGAGCGTGGCCCCAGGGTAGAGGCTGAGTGGCCTGGAGCAGGGGTGGCAGGTCTGGAGGTGGAATGGATGGGATTGTGTGTGGTGTGCTCCGGGCAGAGTGCTGCCACAGAGCTGGGCACAGACGGAGTGCTTGGGAGTAAGCCACACTCAGGAAAAAGAGAAAGAGCAAGGGTTGGGAAATTAAATTAAAAGATGCTTGCTCCTTGGAAGAAAAGCTATGACAAACCTAGACAGTGTATTAAAAAGCAGAGATACTGCTTTGCCGATAAAGGTCAGTCTAGTCAAAGCTATGGTTTTTCCAGTAGTCATGTATGGATGTGAGAGTTGGACTATAAAGAAAGCTGAGTGCCAAAGAATTGATGCTTTTGAACTGTGGTGTTGGAGAAGACTCTTGAGAGTCCCTTGGACAGCAAGGAGATCAAACCAGTCAGTCCTAAAGGAAATCAATCCTGAATATTCATTGGAAGGACTGAAGCTGAAGCTCCAATACTTTGGCCACATGATGCAAAGAACTGACTCACTGGAAAAGACCCTGATGCTGGGGAAGATTGAAGGCAGGAGGAGAAGGGGACGACAGAGGATGAGACGGTTGGATGGCATCACTGACTCGATGGACATGAGTTTGAGAAAGCTCTGGGAGGTAGTGAAGGACAGGGAAGCCTGGTGTGCTGCAGTCCGTGGGGTCGCAGAGTCGGACATGACCGAGCAACTGAACCACAGCAACAGTGTTGGGAGCACCGAGGAAGGCAGTGTGCTAGAGGCCAACGGGCACGGCAACCTCCCTAGTATCAGGCAGACTTGGTCTCTTCAAGGGCAGAGCCAAGGATGAGCTGAGGGAAGGCAGAGACCTGCAGGAAGCCCCACACAGAGTCGCCCTGGTAAACAAGAAGCCATGATTCCGATACCGCGGAGATTTCAGGAACTTGTGTGCAACTTCCCGTGGGTATTCTGTTGTTGTGCCCCTCCCCCACCACTTGTTTCCCCATCGTAATGAGCAGCAAAACTCTTAAAAAAACAAGAAGGATCTGTGGGAGTACGTGGGGAGCTGCAAGAAAGAGGGAAGTTGGGGTGGCTGCATCTGGTTGGTGGCCGGTTTGCGGGATGGGGAACCTCCACAGCGGGGCAGGGTGGCAGCAGCCTGATTGCAGGGTAGAGAGTGGTAGCGCGACTTAGAACTGATGAAGTGTCAGGCCCTCTAGGGTTCCTGTGAGAGGTGTTGACCCTATTAGGCAATGCGGGGGACAGAACAGAGAGGACCAGGAACTCTCATTAGGAACTGACCTTGCAACACCCCTGCCCAGTAAATCATGGTTGACGACCAGAACGTGACAAACGGCCACACAGGAAACAACAGTTCAGGAGCAGGGCCTCTGGTTGATCCTGGATGCCTAACATCACCACCAGCTGCCTTTGGTTTCCTAGCTGCCCCACACGCTTGTCAAATGCATCCCAAGTATAATTTATCATGGGTCAACATGGGCCGCTGACCAAGGCCTCACCTGCTGGGTAGACACACAGCACTGCCCTCCCGGCTTCTTGAGGGAACAGAAGTGGGATCTGGGGATGAGCACAGCCCTGCCCAGGTTCACTCCGATTCCTGACGGGTGTCTGCCAGCGAGGGCCAGGATGCTGTCTGGGGAAGCCTTTCCTCTGTGACCAGCTTCTCTGTCTGTCTGTCCCTAGGTGCCCAGGAACTGGTGCGGATGGACAGGTAAGGCCCATGGAGACCTTCCTGAGAACACTTGCCACAACTGTGCCGTCCCAGTCAAAGTCTGGCAGGCTCTCTCCTTGCCTTCCCTGGGCTGTGGTCTCTGCTGGGCAGCATCTATCTACACCCAGCTTCTTATACGGCAGTTAATGCAGAAGGACAGACTGATTCTCCTGACTCCACTGGGTTCTTTCCCCCTCTCCTCTCCGGTCACTGCTGATATCACAGTGGGGCTGAGAACACAGACATGCACTTCCTGGGCCTCCCTGTGCTCTGGGCCAGCTGTCAGGAAAGAAATATGTCTGTGCAGTAGGGCCCCAGTTAAGCTGCCTGGCATAGCTGGTTAGAAGAGCATTTGCCATCTGCCATCTGTGCTGATTGGCTGTTTGCCCTGCCACCCCTCACCCAGCTGGCTGGCTCCAATGCTGCTTGGAGAGCGATGCACCTACCTTTGGGCCTCAGTGGTCAGCTGGGGTGGGGAAGGGGTGGAAGCAGCTGAGCCCAGGCAGACCCTGAAACATGCAAAGGAGGTCAGCATGCCTGGAGTTGAGGCCCCAAGGAGTGCAGGGCACCCCAAGGAGAAAGCAGTCAGGCCACAAGGGCAGAGGCTGACCTGGCTCAGACGTGGGTGGGGGGCAGCTTGGGGATGGAGTGGATGGGGAGTGTGTGTGGTGTGTGCCCTGGGCAGGAAGCTGGCATGGGGCCTGGCATGGAGGGCGTGCTTGGGAACAGGCCATGCTCAGGAACTTGGCCCCAGTATATGTAACACCAAATTCAGAGCTCCTCCCTGGTGTCTGAAAGGGATGATATTTAAGACAGGTCACAGGAAGTCCTAGCTAGATCCTGCTGGAATCTCAGAATTAGAGCGGTCCTCAGAGGTTGTCCCATTATGAAGGAAGAAGAAGGGCTCCCTTTAGCTCAAGACAAGCTGTGGGGACAATCAGTCCTAAGGCCATTAATTCTACTGACCAAAGAGAGACTTGTCCCCTGATTCCTGAGGCCAGTGTCCTGGAGCCACTCTTCCCTGGGGCTTCTTTCCTGGGCCTGGGGGCAGATGGGCAGATGCCCTCAGCTCAGGGCAGCTGGGGAGTGCAGCCCATGGCTTTTCCTCCCTGGCCCTGGAGCCTCCCTTCCTGCTAGGAGATGCTGCTGAGGCCTGGGGTACGAAGGCAGGTGAGGGGAAGGCGGAGGCGAGGGGAGAGAAGTGAGGCAGGCCAGGCGGAAGGTCAGAGGCCTAGCCCAGGCAGCACGCATGACCTTGTATTCTGCTTCTCCAGCAACAACGTTCAAGGAATTGAAAACCCTGGCTTTGAGACCTCTCCACCTTCTCACGGGATGCTGGAGGCCAAGCCCAGGCAGCCCCTGACCTACATGGCCCAGCGGCAGCCTTCTGAGTCTGGGCGGCACCTGCTCTCCGAGCCCAATACTCCTCTGTCTCCACCAGGCCCCGGGGATGTCTTCTTCCCCTCCCTAGGTGAGTGAATCTCTTCCCTCACGGCACTGTGACCGGCAGCACACCAGCCTCATTCCCCACCTCCCTGAGAATCCTCACGGCCTCAGGGTGTGGGGTTGTGGGGGGGATGACGGATGGAGGAACCCCCCTTCACTCTGCGTCTCCTTTCTTTTGCAGACCCTGTCCCTGACTCCCCAAATTCTGAGGCCGTCTAAACCAGCTAGGGGCCCGCGGAAGACGTGGCTGGGCCTGGGGCAGGGGCATTTGAGCCAGGGCTGGCCCTCTGACTGGTCCCTTTGGCCCTGGTTTCTTCCCTCCAGCTGTTAAGCTCAGACTCTTTGAAATACCCCTGATGGCAGAAGGGAGAAGGTGTTGGACAGTCCAGCCCCTCTCTCAAGGATGGTGAGAGGCTGGAATCCCACCCCAAGGACCTGAAATTCACCAGCTACTGATGCCAGATGACCTCCATCCTCGAAGCCGCAGGACTGCCAGCTCCCGTGGCAGCCTCTCTCTCTGGGACATAAGCCCTGGGACCTGACCGTATAGATGTGCACTGGGCAGACCTCCCAGACCACCCTCCAGGCCCGAGACACAGGATAAGATGTGGAGAGACTCTTCCCACTGCAGTGGGCCTGGCTCCCCACTCCCGCCTGAGACTGCTCATCCATCAGACTCACTCTTTGTAATCATGAGGCTCTGAGGCTAGGCCTGCGTGACCTGGCTGCCTTCTAACCAGCAGACTCTGAGGGGCTGTCAACAGGTTAAACAAATCTGGGGTTCCCACTGCCTGCACTCTGGGTCCCCAGAATGCACTGGCTGGAAGCCCCCAAACGGGAAGTACGCTGTGGGGCACGGTGACCATTGTGAGCCAACTGGCAACTTGGGCAATGGGGGCCAGGCCAGAGGTTGTATTGCCCACCCACCATAGTGGGGAGAGGAGGGAGAGTGGGCTGGCGGGGGGCCTGCTGGGAAGGTTCAGAGGACAGGGCTCCTCCCAGACCTGGCTGCCTTCTAACCAGCAGACTCTGAGGGGCTGTCAACAGGTTAAACAAATCTGGGGTTCCCACTGCCTGCACTCTGGGTCCCCAGAATGCACTGGCTGGAAGCCCCAAAACGGGAAGTACGCTGTGGGGCACGGTGACCATTGTGAGCCAACTGGCAACTTGGGCAATGGGGGCCAGGCCAGAGGTTGTATTGCCCACCCACCATAGTGGGGAGAGGAGGGAGAGTGGGCTGGCGGGGGGCCTGCTGGGAAGGTTCAGAGGACAGGGCTCCTCCCCCCTCTCCCTGTGGTCAAGAGAGCTGGTGACCACATAATGTACTGCCCAAACTATGACTACTTTTCAGTGTGAAGAGGGGGTGCTATTAAAAACTACGTGGGTGACAGTGTAAAAACCCCATGGACGGATTGTAAGAGCTGGGTTGAAATCCCTACTCTGCTTCAGAGGTGCCTGAGGCCCAGGGAGCCCCCCACCCCCACCCCCAGTCTTCGAGGACCTCTGTGACAGTCACTCTGCACTGAGCTGTCAGGGGCAGCGGGACCCTGCTGGATAGGAGGAGCGGGCGCGTCCACAGAGAGTCTGGGCCTGCTCTGCCCTAGACCCTCTGCTCCCATCTCCTGCTTCAGGCATGACCCAGGTTTGTCTTTCTATACAAATAGGAGGGGAATCCTTTGTGGAATTTCAATTCAAGAGCTTTAAAGCATTGAGAGGAGTGGGGAGGGATCTCTGTACCCTGTGGGGTGAAAGTGGTTGGTGGGGCCTGAGAGGGCGAGGGGCAGTTTGAGCTAGACAGGCACCCCGGGCACTGCAGTGTGGAGGGTGTCATTTCAACTGGGCATTCGTCTGCCAGTAGCCTACGCTGGTTCTGCCGAGCCAGGCATGGGTGCTGAGAGCCCGGGTTTCTGGCCAGGATAAGGGCCCAGCAGGCAGGGAGATGCCTCCCTGGCCTGGTTGGGGATCGGAGAGGAACAGCCCTAGGCTCTCAGAGAGCTGGCCATGAGCCCCAGGCCTGAACCTGGAGCCAGGGAGCCCCCTTCTCAGGTCCAAGGCTGTAGGCCAACGTGGGCCCTGAGCGGAACAGGGGGCTTGGAGGAGAACGTGAGTGTGGGCCTTGGGCCTCAAGGCTGCACTGACACCTCCAGTGGCCAGAGCCCTGAACCCTGGCTCCTGCTTTGTCCCCAGGGGTCTACTCCTCTGTTTTCTTTGCTGCTGTGGACACTTAGCGCCAGCTGCCACAAAAAGAGGGTGCTGTCTTCATGGCTTGTGGGGTCCCAGGGGGCAGGGATGGGCAGAGCAATACCTGCTCAAGGCAGGGCCAGGCTACCCCTGGGTTGAAGGACAAGCGCACAGACTAGACTCCTCATCCCCCAGCTCAGAAAGAATGTTCCTGCCTGTCAGGGAGGCTGGCCTGGCCCAAACCTCAGTTCTGACCTCAAGGTAGAGACAACTTCTAAGAATCGGGCTGCCAGACCCCAGGCCCACCGGCCGCTGAGTGGAGGAGGGAGGAGGCCCCGGAGTAGAAAGACACCACACTTCCTCCCCAGCTTCCTCCTGCATGGCCTCGAGCTCGTCTCTGGACACTTACTAGTGAACGTATAGCTTCGTGGTTTCCTGTTTTCAGCGAAATTTACTCTGAGCTCCAGTCTCCATCTTCATCCACGACAACACACCCTGTCCCTAGCAACCCTAAAGGTGCTCCCCGCCAACCCCGATGCTGTGGGGAAAGGCAGGGTACCCGGGTTGTCCCTCTGTGCTCGCCTTGGGGTGGCAGTGCTTCTGGAGATGCCTGTGGGCTGGGGTGTGTGGAACAGAGTAGGGGAATGAGAACATGGTCCCTGCCTTTAGGGAGCTGGGAGGAGCCCTGGGAGGGAAATTTGTGTTTTCAGGCACTAAGTCATTGTTAAGAGATGTATCAGGAATTAAGGGGCCTGTAACCTATCTCTTGATGTTTCACATTTAATAAAAGATCTCCTGCCTTTGTTTCCTGCAAGTGAGAGGCTAAGGGAATGAAATGGACACTCTCTGAAAACACACTGCAGAGACCACTGGAGATGCTGCTGTTGGATCAGGTGGGCCCTGCCTGGGGGTCTGTGGTGTTAGACTGGTGGGTATGCAGGAACCCCTGGGGGCCCTTCTCAGAACACCAGCCCTGGGGATACTCTGGCTCCTGCTTGGCCAGAGCTCCCTCCTACACGCAGCAACCTGGGACAGAGGGGCTAACGCATCACCTTCTTCAGGGAGTGCTCTGTGGTGCAGGAATGGGGGGCTGAGGCCTTGTCACCTCCAACCTGGCTGGGGCACTGGTGCCCTGCCTCCTGGAAGAGACCTTCCGGGTGTCAGCTAGAGCTGACCTGGCTGGCCTAACTCTGCTGGGGGCTGGGCGAAGGTTTGCTCAGGGAACTCAAGGGGAATAGCAGTGGCAGAAAGAGGAACTGGGGTTGGCAGCCAGGATGTGAGGTGCAAAGTGCACTTGAGAAGCTGACGCTCACAGCTCAGATGAGCTTCTGTCCCAGCCCATTGAAAGCTCTGACCACCCAGTCCTCCACTGGGACTGTACCCGCTGCACGGTTGCCTCTCCTGCATGGCCCCTGTGTCTCCCTAACTGTTTCAGAGGTTAGGGAACTGTTCTGGAGTTCTAGGGCAGGGGTCCAATAACAGCCTGCCCTTTGGACCCGGTTGTAGAGCTGATGACTGAAACATAGCCACTGAGTCATGGACTGAAGCAGGATGCCAGGGTTCCATTCTCCAGACCACTTGGAGTCGGCAGGGCAACCTCTGACTTTTGACTGGCTCTAGTTCCCAGCAGCTTTGTCTGGGCCTCGTGGAGTCTCCTCAACAGCAATGGTGCCCTGAGCTTTAACAGGCCAAGGGACATGGGTTTTACTTTGTTTTGCAATTCTGATCTCTTGGTATGGCTTCCTGGGATTCTGAAGTATTAATATAGTTCAGTGGGAAAGTGCTGACATCCACTAGCAATGCCTGCCTTGGGCACAGGATAGGGAAGGGCAGTCTGTGTTCTGTATCTTTGCTCTTCTGTGATAATACTCTAGGCTTTCCAAAGCACTTTCTCAGGTGTTAAGACTTCTTTGGTTCCTACTCACTCCCTCCCCTGACAGAAAACCCTGGAAGGCTTTATTGTTCCATTTAATGCATAGGGAAACTGAGGTTCCAAAAGGTTTCTGTCTTGTCACAAGTGAATGTGGAACTGGGACTGAAACCTGTGTCTCCTGCTTCCCAGCCCTGTGCTCCTTTCTCTGCACTGAAGCAAGTCGCCTTACAGGCCAGGACTTGGACTTGCTTACTGTGCATACCAGGCCCGGGGGATGAGCCTGTGCCCACAAGCCCATGGCTCTACTCCTTCCACATCAGTCTTTTCTCTTCCCTTCCTGCCTGGCAGCCCTGAAGCCACAGGACTCCCAGGGGGCATGGCAGCCTGTGCACCACTTGCTCGTGGGAGGGGAATGGGGAAGGTAGGAACTCGTCTATCCACAGAGCCCCAGGGTCTCCGGAAGGAACTGAGCCAGTTGCATGTGTAGCATTTGAGCAGTTGCAGAACATTCTCGAGAAGCAGGCCTAGGGGAAGGACCGGACTTGAATCAGGCTGGGCCAGAGAAGGCAGGTCTACTTGGTGTGCAGCATGGGAAAGGGGCTGGGTTGGCATTTTCCCGAGCCTGAGCAAGGGGAAGCAGGCTTCATAAACAGCAGCAGGGTCCAAGTTTAATAAACAGAGGCGCCCTCGGCCCTAAAAATACAAGGTGAGCTGACAAGAGCAGCATTCCCCACTTACAGACTTTTATGGGGCCACTGCTGGCAGCTCTTGTACCAGAAGTGGTGGGAGATGTCCTGTCTTTCTGCCTGAACAGGTGTCTTCTGCAGGTCCCCACCAGCCCAAGAAGCCAGGCCTGGTTATCTGGGACTGGCTGACCTCTGGCTGTGATTCGCACAGCAGGAAGGTCCCCTCGGGAACCTCCCTTTCCCCAGCCCCCTGCCAAGGTGCCTTTGTTGCTGGGGCTTAGCTTCTGACCTCCCAGTTGCCTTCCGTCCTTCCTCCCAGGGCCCGGCCCTTCCTCTTGCAGGGGCCTCCTGACACGGCCACTCAGACCCCTCCCCCAAGCCTGGCCTCCCTGCCTGTGGCCTGGAGCAAGGCTGCGGACTGCGGCTGTACAACGACTTCCCTTGCTGGGTGGTGCACCATTGTGTGACTGGCCTGGGCTGGCCCGGATGCCCCTTGCAGCACAGCTGTTCTGAGCTCTGGGTGATATGGGGCTGAGAGTGGGGTGGGGATGGCCTCGGCTATCTGTAAGAAAGCTCTGCTCTCAGGAAACTGGGGTGGAGGAGAGTCCAGGGTGAAAAGAAGAGATGGGAGGGCTTGGATATAGGATTTCTCTTGGTTTTAGGGAGACTTTGTAGCCAAATCCCACCTTCCTGCTTAGGAAGGCTTATCTTTTAAGACATGGAGGCAAATGCCTTGTCCAGCGCCTTCCATGGCTCCTGTCTCTGAACTTCTAGAACTCTGTCACATCTGAGGGTTGTCAGCGGTCTGTTACGTGTCTGCTTCTCCCCACTAACTGTAGGCTCTGTGAGGGCAGAGCTGTGTCCAACCCATCTCTGACTTACAGGCCTGGCACATATTTAGTGTTGAATGAACGAATGAAATAATGAATTAATAACTCTTACTTGCCCTTGTCCAACAGGAAGGCTGGTCCTGTGCTACCCCCGAGGGCTGGCTTGAACCAGGCAGATAGTTGTTGGTGGGAACAAGAAGATTGCATGTGGGTCTGCTGGGTGTCTTTAGACAGATGTATGTACCCTGTTAAACCATGGTGACATTTCCTGGAACTTTGAGATGGCTGGTCTGAGGCTTCTTGGGGCTCTGGTTGGTCTAGGAGAGGCTGGAATGATCCTACTTCTTCAAACACTCCTCCAGGGAGATCTGCCCAATGGCAGAGAAGGTCCCTTCTCTGGTCACCTTTGGCTTGGGGGCACTCATGACCCTGGAAGGTTCACAGTCCAGACATGACAGTCTGGTCAGTGGCAGTGAATCTTTAAGGGTCCAGCACTCCTTGGAGACAAATGCCAATTCTGGGGAGTGGGGGGCAGTGGCTGTAGGGTTCTAACTTAGCTGGGGCAGGAGGGAGTAGAAGGGATGCCTGAGAAAACATTGGCACCAGCCCTTGGGGCCTGCTGCAGACAGACATCATGCGGAGGATATGTAGCTAGAGAGCCCTGCTCTGGGCTCTGAATGCTGCCCTGGGTCTAGACCACCTGTGGCTCCCTGGACCTGCCCTGGTTTATCACTTGCTCTTAGGCCTTTGTTCAGGTTGATGCCCAGATCCAGAATATGCTTTCCCCTCTTTGTTGTGCTAACTGTGACTGACCGACAAGACAGCCCAGGTGTCACCTGCCCCCAGGAAGCCTTCCCCAAGGTCCATCTACACCTTGACTTCATTGTCTCCCTTACTCGGCTGCACTTCATTGTAGCATACTGGCTTCATCTCTGTATCTCTGGGGCCTGGCACAGAGTGGGCATTCAGGGAATGCTGGTTGAACGAATCACTGAGAAAACACAGTCCAGTGCTAAGTTCTCAACAATGCTCCTGTGGTCCCTGCAGTTCTTTACTGTGGTGTCGCCAACAAAATATCAAATCAAAGTGATCTTTTCCCAACATGAAGAAGCAGAAAAAAACTTGAAGGGATGGATTCATTTTGACTTAAAAGTTTTTTCCTAGAAATGTTTCCCCAGCTGGTATTTGATGCTGTTTGTCTATTATGATATTACAGCCCCCAGGACCCATATACACACATATACATACACCCCATCCCTGATCTTGGTCATCCTGAAGGTGTTTTCTGGGAGCAGTGTTAGTGATGACCAGGATGAAGAAGGTAGACAAAAGGAGACTGCATTTCTCACCACCCAAATTCCCACACTTCTACTAGGGAGCTGGAACAGGCCGAGACCTGCTTCAAGGAGGACCAGAATGCTCTCCCTGTGTGTGTGAGGAGGCAGTGCTTGTGGGTCTCCACTGGGCTTGGGTGGATCTCTACAGAGGGTATGGTCAATAGATGAAACTTCTGACCATGGGGACCAGCCCCAAGTTCTACAGGGGCTGCATGGGGAGTAGCCCACTCATTTTGGGTGGTTAAATGTGGCTAGGGTGATTTCACATTTCTCTAATTCTCATTTCTTCCTGGGACAAAAGGAAACCAGATGTTGCCTCCCCAACTCAGGGTCTTAGAATATTATGGGTCTCACCTACTGCCTCCTTGGGAAACTCTAGGACTGTGGGGTTTGGGGAAGCATGGGGAGTGGGCATGAGAGTGGTATGTTCACTGGCCTAGGTCAGGATGAAGAAGAACAGCATGGCAAATGCTGAGCTGCCCATCTCTTTCTCACTAACAGAGCTCTACTTTTATTTGAGGCAGTGTTATATGTGGCCCCCAAGTAATAAGCCAGTCCCAACAATCCTGTCCCTCATTTTTTCCAACCTCCTTACAGCTAGGGTGCCCCTGGGAACCTCTTCTGGCCAATGAGTCACAAGAGAAAACTGTGGAGAATAGTTCCAGAAAATTTTGTGCTTTCCTGATAAAAAGGCAGAAATTGCTTGCATAGCTCTTTGGTTTTTTGTCATTTTCTGCCTTGAATGCTGACATGATGGCTGGAGCTATAGCAACCATGTTGCAACCATAACGGAAAGGACAAGAAACATTAGCTCTGACATCACTGAGCACAAAATCAAAGTCTGCAATTCTCTGTGGAATTGCTGTTATGTGTATGCTCATTTATTTATGAATCCATATTAGAGTTTCTGTTACTTGTAATCAAACATACCTTTAAATGCTATTGGAGAGAAGACCAAGAAGATGATTCACTCTGAAGCTAGGTGCAGGTACAGAGGGGTTGCCACATAAAAAAAACTGAGTCCCTCCATGTCGCCATAATAAATGATACCCTACCTGTCCTCCCCTCAGTTAGTTATATGTGTTCTGTAAATATGTTTCTGTTTCGCTTATTGGGTGTGATTGGTTGAAGTGATTACTATCATCCTGGGGTCTTCAGGATGTGGTTTCCTGGGATTGGCCCAATTCCACCATCCTCCCCAGAGAAACTCCACATAAAAATCCCTGCCCAGACCTGCTCTGACCCCACAGTTTACAGTGCTACTGCCAAAAGAGAGGGGTCTAACAGAGTCACCTTTGGAAGGCAGAAGGATGGAACTGAGGTCTCATTTACAATCAGGGTGCCGATGATAAACAGATTACACAAATGTCCCAATCCTTACACCTCCCTGTATCTACACTCTGTGCAATGTGCCTTTGCAGTTCATTCCTTCAAGAGATCAAGTTTATTTCCCCATATCTTGAACCTGGGCTGGTCTTCTTGACTTGCTGTGGCAAACAGAAATGTGGCAGAAGCAACCATGTTCAGTTCCAAGCCTGGGCCTTATGAGGCCTTGCATGCTTCTGCTCTTTTCCCTGGACCTTTTCTGGCTCCACATGAACCAGCATGGACTAGCTTTCTAGAAGGAGAGAGAGAGGTGGCCCAGTTGCCCTGTTATCCCGGCTGATGGGAAACCAACCCCAAAAAGAACAGCTATTCAAATGATACACACAGCTGCCTACACACACATGTGGGAGCCCAGCTGACAGCAGAACCACCCTCCAGATAAGCCAGGTCTCAAGTGCCAGCCTGCAGAACTAGAGCTAAGTCGATGGTTGTTTAATGCCTCTTTGGTTTGGTTTTGAATGCATGAATATTGTGGTGATAAGATAGCTGATACACTCCTCTTCCTCATGGTTTACCAAGCGCTTCCACAGACAAGAGCTAACTCAATTCCCCACATACCACCTATGAAGCAGATATTATCTCTCTTTTATAGATGACAAAACCAATATTCAGAGAGGTCCTGACTTGCTCACCATCATGCAGCCAGCTCAGAGTAGAAATCACAGTCCAGCCCAACACTCCACACGGTGTCACCATCCAGCCCCACCAGCCCCACCTCCTTCTCCAACTCTGCAGACTTTGCACACTGCCTTGGGCAGCGTCCCCACCCATCCACACATCAGGCTGGACCACAGACATGAGCCCCCTGACCCAGAAATGTTGCCGCAGCATGTTACACCAACACGACGCAGGGAAAAACCCAAAAGGCAACCTTCCCCATTTGGCACAGAGGCCCACAGATGTGCAGCACACTTGGCTGGTGGCGTGCAGGCTGGCCAGACCCCGAGGTACAGGCTCCCTCTGTGTGGTCTCCTAGCACCGCCCCGGGTGAGCAAACACAGCTAAATCAAGGCTCAGAGTGGCTGCAGAAGCAAGTGAACCGGCACCCTAGCTTGGCACACACAGGCCCTCCATAAAATACTCACAGGCTGAAGGATTCAAGGCATGATAATGGAGTTGTTGTGAACTCACCGGCGCGTGGCATTCCACTCCTAGCCATCTCATCCCATGGCACAGAAAGCGGAGCTGCCCCTCCCCCACCCTCCTCTCCCAGTGGCCGCCCCCGATCACTCACCGATAGGGTAGGGGTGCCCTCGTCCTCCACGGTGACCACCAGGTGGTAGAAGCTCTGACGCTCGCGGTCAGGTGGGGCGGGACGAGTGGCGATCTCGCCACTGATGCGGTCCATGCGAAAGGTCATGTCCTCATTGCCCCCGGTGATATAGTAGGACAGGACGCTGTTGATGCCGATGTCACGGTCGGTGGCTCTCACCTGGACCACAGCAGTGCCCCCGCCCACGTTCTAGGGGGAAAGCAAGAAAGCAGTCATTCCAGGTTCAAGGCCTTTAGGGCAAAGTCTAGCTCCTGCTCCTGCTCGGAAGCCCAAGACTGGGACCTCTAGAAAGCTCTGCTCTGATGACCCCGGGACAACAGTGAGGCAGATAAAGATGATGGTGGCGAACATCCTATGGGTACCTACTACATGCCTCAGCCTTCGTGAACACATCAAATCCTCTTACAATGCTATAGATTAGGTCACCCTATTTACAGATGCAAAAACTGAGGTTCAGGGAAGGAATGTGTGCAAATCATACAGTCAGTGGCACAGCCAGGATCTGAATCAAGGGAGGTCTTCATGAACGTTCAACCTGACATACCCACTAGTGCCTGGGCAAAAATTTTCCTGGAGTGGCTTAATCTTATGACTGAATAATAAATGAACTGTTTATATAGATATCGAAAAGAAACTTATGGTTACCAAAGGGGAAACTGGGGGCAGGGGGTGGGCATAAGTCAGGAGTTTAGGGTGAACATACACACCCTTCTATATATAAGATAGATAACCAGCAGGGACCTACTGTATAGCACCATGAGTTTGGGTAAACTCCGGGAGTTGGTGACGGACAGGGAGGCCTGGCGTGCTGCAGTCTATGGGGTCGCAAAGAGTCAGACATGACTGAGCGACTGAACTGAACTGAACTATATAGCACAGGGAACTCTACTTAATATTCTGCGATAACCTATATGAGAAAAAAAATCTGAAAAAGAATGAATACATGTATAACTGAATCACTTTGTTGTATACCTGAAACTATCACCATATTGTAAATCAACTATACTCCAATAAATATTTTTAAAAAAATGAACAGTTTTATTTAAAGACAGCTCTCCCAGGTAAACCTCAGTTTCCTGTTGGTGGTGAAATGCCACTTTCTTCTTTCCCTTTTTTTCCCAGGACCTGGCCCAGGTGTCAGGGATTGAACCATGAAAGAGTAAGCCATGTCCCCAGCTCCATGATGAGAGACTAGTGGGCCACGCAGATATTTAAACAGCTTTGCAGTTGGCTATACCCACTCTTCATTCTGGACAGCTGTATCGGCCCCAGGGCTACCCTCACCTCGTTGACGCTGACATTGTATCCAAAGGGGCTCTCGATCACTGGAGGGTTGTCATTGATGTCCAGGATGGTCACCTGCAGGATGTGGTCCTTCTTCCGTGGAGGGGTGCCACGGTCGGACGCCACAACCTGCAAGGAGGGGGAAGACTGGAGTTAGGGTTAAAAGGTGGGGGCTGGATGAGGAACATGGAGTCCAGATGGGCCGTCTGCTCAGTGGGGAGGACTGCGAGGTCAGAGAGACTTGCTGGCCCATCTCCGCCCCCTGGCCCTTCGACTCTCCCCAAGGTTTCACCTTTTGCCCCATGCTGCAAACAATTGTTGCCCGATTCTTATCTGTTTGGAGACCTGTCTTTGCAATCTGACTCTGATGCGTTTAGTCTACCTCCCTATTCTGCTCCCGACTGTAACCTTGGGCCTGCAACCAGACCCAGGGCTCCTGTGTTTAGCTTCTACGCCTCTGGTGCATGCACTCAGATCCGCTCTCTGGTAAATAGAGAAAGCTTCAAATAATCTTTTTAGGAATGAGAGGGAATCCTCAGGCTCATAGACTGAGCCTGTCCCTAGGAGCCTTGATATTTTCTGGAGGCCCACAGTGTGCTAGAGCTCAGATCCCTGCAGAAGCACGGCTCTGGGGTCCCCAGAAACGCCTCAGGAAACAGTGCATACGGGCGTGCTACGTCACTTCAGTCTTGTCTGACTCTCTGTGATTCTATGGACTGTAGCCCACCAGGCTCCTCTGTCCATGGGGATTTTTCAGGCAAGAATACTGGAGTGGGTTGCCATGCCCTCCTCCAGGGTATCCTCCCGACCCAAGGATTGAACCCACATCTCCTGCAACTCCTGCATTGGTAGGCGAGGTGGTTACCACTAGCGCCACCTGGGAAGCCCCAGGAAACACGGTAGCCAGAGCAGTTCAGCAATAACGGAGGCCTTTGTGATTCCTCACCTGCATTTATGTCTCACCTCAGCAGAGGAAGTCAGGTTTTTCTGCCCATTGCAAAAGAGAGGAAACTGTCAGACTACCTGCCCCACTCACAGTGTGCTTGTGGGAGAGCCAGTGCTCCATCAGCTGCCAGGCTTTCTCTCCTGGCTCTTACAGCAGGGACAACCACCCCTGCTGCTTCCTGCTCTGGGTCCAGGGACCCCTTCCAGCACACCTTTTTCCCCAGGTCAGCCTTGCTCATGCTCTTGGCCCTAAGGGGTGCTGCCTGCCCCATGGTGCTTGGTGACATAGGAAGCTGATCACCAGGGCGTGCTGATGGGCTGAGTGCTCTCGGGATGGACGGGGTTGCTGCCAACCTTGAGGATGTAGCGGTCCAGCTCTTCTCTGTCCAGAGGTCTGGCCACAAATATTTCGCCAATCGAGTCGTTGGTGGTGACGATCTCAAAGGCCCCAGCGATGTTACCAGAGGCCAGGGAAAAGAACACCTGTCAGGGAAGAGAAAGGATGAGGGGTGAGGGTGAAGAAGTGGAGAGGACGAGAAGCTGGCCAAACCAAGGCACACTCACCTGTCCGCTGGGGCCCTCTGCTCAGCCTGGGCGATTGAGAAGAATGTGTTTTATGCAGAAGTGATGACATCCCTTAAAATGGGGTCCACTGAGGGGGCACAGTGTCTGTGACAGGCTCCAGGGGATGGGGAATGATGTGAGCATGGGGCCAGAAAGGCAGGTCTGAGTCCCACCACAGGTGATTTCCCAAGGTGGGGGGCAGGGAAGCACTGAGCCCCTTGCAAGGAGAGGCACGGCCGTGGTGTCACGTGGCTCTGTTCGGCTCTCACAACAGCCCTGATAAAGGAGCTGTCCTCTCCAGCTCAGAGAGGAGGCGCAGGAACAAGAAGCTGCTGGCAAGGTCACACAGCTCGCAAGTGTCCAAGAGAACAAGGATTTGAACCCACAGGCTTCTGACTCCAGAGCCCTCTATAGGTGTCCAAGCATTTAAAAAATGGTGGAAACCTCCTCAAACACAGCTCAATTTGTAGGACAGATCAGAGTGGTGTGAAGACTGGCATGCTGTCACCCCTCTTCCTTGTGCTCTGGGGGTGCCCCAACCTGTAGCGATGCGGAGGGGGGGCCCGAGAAGCAGGGGGAGGAGGAGTGTGTCCTCTTGGGGCCCTGGGGCTGTGTGGGGAGGGCTGGCCCCAGGGGTGAGATGCTCTGTGGTTTGTGGATGAGGTGACCAAGGGGTCATGGAAAGGTTAAAACCCTCTGTTTTCAGCTTGCTGCGGGGACTGAGCCGTGGCCAGCTGTGGGTGCCGTGTCCCTAGGATCCAGGCAGGGCTGACAGCTTGCACAGCTCTGTCTCCAGCCTTGGACACGGACTGCAGTGAGGGCAGGGTTGTCCTGCTCAGGGCCCGGCAGAGCCTGGACGACCTGCTCCTGCTTAGGATGGGGATGGCTCCAGTGACCCCTCTGGCTGAAGGGCTGTGGGAGCCCTCACTCACAGCGCAGATCCGGACTATTTCACTGGTACCCACCTGCCCGTTGCTGCCAGCGTCTGGGTCCCGGGCCTTGACAGTGGCCACGCGCTGGCCCACGGGGCAGTCCTCAGGCACACTGATCGCCGAGTCAGAGGTGAAGTCGAACCGGGGGCTGTTGTCATTCTCGTCCAGCACAGTAATGTAGACCTGGGAGTGAACATGGCCAGAGACTTCCACCTCCTTACCTTCTTGGGCCCCAGAGAAGGGGTCCCACCATGGGCCCAGAAGGGACCACACCTCCAATCAGTTCCAGCAGGTCAGCAAGCTTTCAGAGCCTGCCTAGGCCAACCTGACTTTACACAGAGGCCCTGAGTGGGTTTCTTCTGAGAGTCTGGTGTGGGGGGTGGGGGGGGCGGTGCTGCAGACAAATGCTGGGAGCCTGGAGGGCACTCAGAAGTGGTGGGGCATGGGAGAACTGGAAGGCATAGCCCTGGCTAAAGGAAATGGAAGCTACTTAGCTCCAAATTTGTGAGGGTGTGTCAGCTTGGCATTGACATAGCTTCCTGTTTTTCAAAAGGAACTAAGGAATCTAGATTTCTATGTGGAATTAGGTGGTGATTATTGGAAGGACTGATGCTGAAGCTGAAACTCCAATACTTTGGCCACCTCATGCAAAGAGCTGACTCATTGGAAAAGACCCTGATGCTGGGAGGGATTGGGGGCAGGAGGAGAAGGGGACGACAGAGGATGAGATGGCTGGATGGCATCACTGACTCGATGGGCATGAGTTTGAGTAAACTCTGGGAGTTTGTGATGGACAGGGAGGCCTGGCGTGCTGCAATTCATGGGGACGCAAAGAGTCGGACACGACTGAGCAACTGAACTAAACTGAATAAAAATTAAAAAAAAAAATTTTGTGCAGCCCAGCTAAAACACATCTGGTAACCAGGTATTGCCCGAAGGCTTCTTCATTTGCACCTTTAGAGGGAAGGAACCAGGGCTCAGGAGCAGGAGAGGGGACCTAGGTGGCTTGGCGGTCCCAATGTGGAGAGGGAAGGGAGGGACCCCAACTACCATATAAAAACAGCGGACATGTAAGTTGCATGCGAAGAGCACACTGTTCTGCGCCTGCAGCTCAGGCTTCTCCTGCAGGGTCTGAACAGCAAGCCTGGAGAGAAGGCCTGGCTGGGGATGCAGCTTCCAGCCACGGATAGCCATGGGCCATGCAGCCAGAGTCATAGGTGCCTCTCAAGTTCACTGACATGGGGACTGAAGTTGGGGTGGGAGGGAACCAGGCTCAGGTTTTAGCTATCCCAAGCCAGACCTCCACCCCCACCCCCACCCGACTCTCCTTCCTCAGGCCTGGGGCTCCAGGGCTCCCAGGTCTTCTTGCTTCCTGTGTGCACAGGACCCCATGGGGAACCTGTGGAAGCACGCCACCATGCAGAGAAGGTTCCATTCATCCCCCCTCCTTCCTAATCAGGAATTCCCCCTTCTCGGTTCTAACCACACTTCCAAGTTTTAGGCAGCTGTCAGAAATGTAGGGAACAAACCCAGGCTTCACAGCAGGGCCAGTTCTACCACTTACTAGCTGTGTGATATGGCAAAAGTTACTCAACTTCTCTGATTTTCCATTTCCTCAAATGAGAGTAGGAACAAGAACACCTACAGCATCAGGATGCTGGAAGGAATAAATGAGCCAACAAAAAGTGATGGTGCAGGAAAAAGTGGTCCCTGTCCTGCATCTGGTCTGACAAGATGCTGCCTATCCAACATGAATTTTCATCAGGGAGTTCTGTGAAGTCCCAGAGCCCCAGTCTGCTCATCTGTGAAATGGGCATAATAATGACTACCACACTGTTCTCAGGGGGAAAACAAACAAGGCTCCCACAATCTGTGTGTGTTGGTTGCTCAGTTGTGTCCGACTCTTTGAGACCTCGTGGACTGTAGTCTGCCAGGCTCCTCTGTCCATGGGATTTTCCCAGGCAAGAATACTGGAGCGGGTTGCTATTTCCTCCTCCAGAGGATCTTCCTGACCCAGGGATTGGACTCATGTCTCCAGCACTGCAGACAGATTCTTTACCCTCTGGGCCATCTGGGAAGCACTCTCCTAAACTCTTCTCACTCTGGTCAAGGTCTTGTGGGGAATCCCCGTGTTTTCTCTCACGTCAGGGCCTCTGCACATGCCATTTCCTCCACCTGAAATGCTCTTCTTTCTCAGGAATCTCAGCTTGAATCACTTCCTCCAGGAAGCCTTCCTTGATTTCCCTGATATCTTATTATCCATTCTGTTGTGGCATATATTTATCGGCGTGATAATTTGATCAGTGTCTTTCCCCCCCTCTATTTTACGTCTGTGTCTGATTTTGGTTTCCTGTTGCATATACCCTAAGCCAGCCCAGAGGCTGGCACACAGTAGTTGCTCCCTCTAGGATTACTACTCTGATGATGTGCCCTGGCAATGGGGAATCTGCATCAGTGAGTGAGGAGGGAGAGCAGATACCAAGATCTACAGGAAGGAGCCATGGGTCTGTGCCCTCACCCAGGGTCTCATCGTTCAAATATCCCCAACCTCATCCCTCAAAAGCCCGAGAGTATTACTCAAAGCTCCTACAGCAGAGCTGTCCCCGCCCACCCTGCCCCTTCCGCTGCCTCCCCACCCGTCTCAGGGCCACGGGGACTGCTGGGACAGGGGAGGAGTCAGATGTAGGTGAGCTGTGGTTTGGAGGTTCCGGCCTCACAGAGGAAATGGTGGTGCCTTTAAAAGGCCCCTCAGCCTGTCTCCACCCCAACACCTCCAAGTCTGGTGTATCTGGGCCAGTGGCTCTGGGAGCCTCTGAGAGGAAGCCAGGGCAGAACAAAGCGGGGTGGGTCCTGCTTCCTGGAAGACGGCGAAGGGAGTAGAAATCCAGGGGCCCATGCAGGAGTGTGTGCTCTGAAACGCTCACGCCAGCCCGAGCACAGGAAGTGGTCGCCTGGCCCCCCGAGGGGCTTTGGCACCCCGTGGGGAATGTCTCTTGACAACAGGGAGGAGGGGCAACTGGGCCCGCTTTATGGATGAAGCTGCTGGGGCTCGTGAGGGGCCCTGATGAGCCCTCCTGGAAGACCAGGAGCCTCGTTGGGGGCTGCAGGACCCAGAGCACCTCCCCGCCATCTGCCACCCGCGGGCTCTGCTCACTGGCCGCCCTCAGGGACCAGGGGTTGCAGGGAGCTGTGCGAGCTCCCAGTTGCTTGTAGCCTCACTCAGCCCAGGCTGGCCCCGTGGATGGTGGGGTCTTTGGGGTACGGCCTAGCCGCAACCAGGGCCCCTGCAGTCAGCACCTCGAGGGAGCCATGCGCAGGTCACAGGGCACCGAGCAGCTGCATTTGGCTCTCAGCCTGGGCATCAGATTCGCTTCCTCCTTGAGGCTAAGGTGAAAGGGACTCAATGGGGGTGAAAACATGGCTGGAACCAAGGCTAATGACCAGCTGGCCACCCCACACAGTCTACAGATGGCCTCAGACCTATCTGGCTGGAGCCCAGGCCGAATCCATAATGTTCCCCTCAACGTGGCAGGAGGCCACCTCAAAACCCGCCCCTGGGTCTCACCTCCATATCTATGCCTAGTCTGAGGTCATCACCTCTCTTACCCTTCTAGGAATCTTGCCTGACACCTCCAACCTCAGCAATCACCTTCCCCCCAGTCTACAAGGCCTCTGTATCTTTTCTGAGAGTCCTCGGGGGTAGGGACTCACACCATATGCCAACCACTGACCCTCCCAGCACTCCCCAGGCCCTGGCACTCACACGACTACTATAACACTCCTCACACCAGCCCTGAGAGAGGGAAGGGGCCCCCTTACAGACACAGCTCCCATCACCCCTCCTAGCCCACAAAGGCCTCCTATCTGCTATCTCCATCGCATGCTCTGAGGAAGGCAGGGCAGCTAGCATGTTCCCCACTTTAGATCGACTAGAGGAAGCAGAGAGGATGCACAACTAGTTCACGTCACACAGCCCCCGAGGAGCAGAGTGGGGATGAGGCCTCAGTGTTCCTTCCACGGTGTGTTTCACCTACCCCGTGTTAATGCAACACCCACCCAGGCCGCCGTGGGAGGTGTGACGGGACACAGAGGGCAGAGAGGACGGAGCCGGATGTGGAGTTCGTGCTTGGGAGGGGCCTGGGCTCAGGTGTGAGAGTGGATGGGCCAGGGAGGTTGGGAGGGGTCTGAACAGGGACCAGCGGCAAGCCTGTCCACATGCCCTCTCCCCAGGAGAAGCAGGAAGGCCCAGCACCTCACAGGGCCCAAGCCAGTCCTGGCCACAGACAGCCCACAGGGCGAGCCCAGCCCACAGGTTACTCACCTTCTGTAGGTGGCAGAGGTGGCAGGAGGCGGCCGAGGGAGAGAAAGAGGAAAAATGCAGGTGGTTATCAGTCCCAGCTCCCCCAGCCCCAGCTCCTGGAGCAGTGGTCTGTCGAGGATGCCACCCCTCTCCCACTGGTCTGAGGTCTCAGCCCTGCCGGGGCTGCCCAGGGAGGTGTGACATGGCCAGCTGCAGCGCCATCCCTGGGCGACTGAAACCCTCGCCCACTGCCTCCCTGCAGGTTGGGTGGCTGGCAAAGATATGAGTTTGGGGGGCCTTGGAGTGGTGATGGGCTGTACCCATTGGGGTCTCTCACCCGGGACCCACTCACCACGGTGGAGTCCACCTTGGGGCCGCCGTCGTCTGCCACCACCGTCAAGGTGTAGAAGTCACCTTTCTCCCGATCCACCAGGCCCTTGACCGTGATCACACCCTGCAGGGAGGGGGCCAGATGGACAGTGACATCGTATTCCAAGCAGTCTTGTGCCATCCCTGGGCGGTCGGCCCACTTTCCCACCTCCACAACACTCCCTCTGCTGGTGCACATCTCTGTGACGCTCTGTCCACTGAAATCCTACTTCTCTCTCAATCCCACTCAGATCCTGCCTCTTCCACGCAGGCGTCCCGCTTCCCTAGCCAGGTTTGGGCATTCTCTTCTTTGGGCCCCAGAGGTGCTCTATTACCCCTTTACCATAGTTTTTTTTATACCTTTCCTTGTGGTGCTCTGATCTGCATATTAGATTATTCCTGCTTCTGCTGCTCCTAGCCTGAGAGCTCTGTGAGGGCTGGGAAAGGTCTTGTTCATCTCTGAGCCCCCCCATCATGCCCTGTGACAAGGCCCGGCACACTGCAGCAATTACTATCTTGCCTAATTTCAGAGAAGGGATTCTTCTGACAGAAGACCCACTAAAGCAAAGTTGGAAGAGGAAGGTCTAGGCAGTAGATAAGACATAGCTGCACTAGACACCTAGCTAAGAAAAGCTATTGCAGTGATGCCCTAAACTTATATCTGAGCTTCCTAACAGCCAAGGTAAAAAGGGAAACGTGATGACCTGCACGACTTTCATTGTCTAAGTAATAAGAAGACACCAGGTTGCCTACGTATAAACTTTATCTTATCACTACATGTTAAAGGGATGTATTAAAGGGATGTTTATGACAAAGAAGAGAGTGCTGGTCATATAGAAGGAGCTCAATCAATGCAGGTTAGCTTTAAAGGAACTGTGCTCCCTGCCCTTGGAGGGAGCCCTGGCTGGGCTTGTCCCCAGCCTCCCTCACCGTGATGGCATCTATCTTGAAGAGCGCTTTGGCCTGGGCGCTGGTGTAGGCATCAAAGTGGTAGGTGATCTGGTTGAGGTTGTCAATGGAGTAGGCCTGGACACGCACAATCTCGGTGCCCAGTGCCAGATTCTCCCAGATGGCAGCCTCGTAGGAGGCGTTGGAGAATTGCACAGCCTCATCCAGCTCGTTGAGCAGAGTGATGTACACGCTGCAGAAGCCCTGGTTGAAGGGGAGAGCCTGGTCAGTGGCGGACACGTTCATCAGGTAGCTGGTCTTGGTCTCGTAGTCCAGGTAATCCACGGTGATAATAAGCCCCGTGCTCTCATCAATCTCAAACTTCCCCTCAGCGCCCGACAGGATGCGGTAGTTCACCAGGCCACCGTCCCCTGCAGGAGGACGCAAGAGGCTGTGCAGTCCAGGTGGGGGTGGGCTGCCTCGTGGTTTTACGAGCTGCCCCAGCACACCCACTGCTGTCCCAGAGGGACAGGGCGATGGGCCTTGGCTTGCCTACCCAGTGTGCACCACCCCGACCTCTGTGGGTTGGATTTTCCCAAGAGAAACACAGAGGATGCAGTCAAGGTCAAGGATGGCAAGGCCCATCATGCTCTGTTGACTCCCCTGGGGTCTGGCCTTGAGATGAGTGATATGCCAGTGGAGGATTCAGCTCCTGAAGTCCTAACATTTGGGTTCAAGTACCTCCACTGAGTATTTGAACAAGGAGACAGTGGGGTAATTAGGGATCTCTTATGTAGTGGAGGCTTTGATTTAGCAAGTGTTAGATGGGGCAACATCCTCAGAGGTGGCTAAGCCTTCATTTGGTCCCTCCAGCCAAAGGGTTCCAGTGCCAGAGTCACCTTTCTTTGTTCTGCCCACTCCCTGCCCCCTAATCCCTGTGGCCTTGGAGTACATGCTTCATCCAGGAGCCAAAGTTGGGATTCCTTAGCTGAAGTCCACATACTTCAGAGAGGATGGTTATAAAATCACTCAGGAAATCCTAGACTTCTTTGAAATTATTTGTAAAATTCTAGGTGCATTCTTTCTGGGAAGGGGTCCACAGCGTTCACTAGTTTCTCAAACAGATTCCCGACCCAGAAGAGGACTTGAACCACTATCCCCCAGCAATGCCTGTGTGACCTGCACCATATAAACCTGCCATTTAAGGGAGAGCAATCACCCAGGAGTTTTCAGGCCTATGTCTCCACCTACTCTATCCCATGCTCCAGGAATGAACTGGGGAGGCTGACAGGGGCTGGTTGGAAGCCATGAGAGCAGCTGACATGAAAGAAGGGCAGAATCTGGGAAACTAGAAGGATAGGAAGGGGTCTCCTCTGGCTGTACCCCTGGCCTGGGGCAGAGGCCTAGATAACCAGGCCCTGTAAAGAGGACCAGAGTGACCTGACTGCCTTTCTCCTTCACTTTGCGCTGCTAACAAGTGGCCACCTCTAGGGCTCCAGGGATGTCCACTGCCCTGTAGAACAAGACACTGGCTTCTGTTAAATGTGTGTGTGCCAGACCCCGGGCTGTGCTGGCTGGAGGAGCAGACCTCAGCCAGCTTTTGGACAAGAACTTCACTCCTCCTGGCCCTGCCTAGCCCCTAGCCAAAGGCTAGCCGGGAGCTGCCAGGTCCTGGGATGACAAACCTGGACTTCCCCAGCTCGTGACCTCTCCTTTCTCTGAAACCAGGACCACTTCCCAGACTCCTTTCCTCCTGGGACTGGGAATCTGGTGGGGATCCCAGGAGTCCCTGCCCACTTGGGAGCCACTGAACGGGGGAACACAGGGCAACCAGAGGACACCAGGCCCAGTGGGCAAGGGGGCCTGGGCCGCGGCCGGTCACCCTGGGGAAAGGACTCCCTGCCTTCCTCCTGCCGGCCTCACCCGTGTCTCGGTCCGTGGCTCGGACGACGATGACTGACGTGCCAATGCCCGCTGTCTCGCGAAGCCCCAGGCGGCTGTACTGCTGCTGCGTGAACACCGGGGCCTCATCGTTGACATCCTCCACGTACACAATCACCTGTGGGAGCCGGCCCGGGACGAAAGGTCAGGGTGGGGGTCGGGGGAGCCCAGGGCTGGGCCCACCTGAGCCTGCATACGTGGTTGCTGTGCTCCTAGGCCGGCTATGAGCTCTCTACAGAGGGCCTGGGGTTGTCTGGCTGGTCACTGCGTCCCCACACCTCACACAGTACCTGGCACGTGGCAGGTGTTTAAATATCATTTTTCAGAGAACAAATCTTGTCTGGCTCTTGACTCTGCTATGAAACCTGCGGGAACCTGTGGCTAATCGGTGAAACGTGGGCTGTTCAGCTTCTCAGCTATGAGACAGTCACATCAGTTCAACAATTCGCACCCTGTGCCACTCCTAGGATGGTTATGAAGGCAAAATGAGCCAGGGCTTTGCAAAAGTGCTTGAAAAGTTTAAAGGGACCCCATTCAAACACCAAGATACCTCCGGGAGAAAAGACATGAAAACATCCTCGGTCACAGCAGAGGATGTTGGTGCTCAGACTCCTCCAGATTCTCACGCGCTCTCTCTGGTGCTCTCACTGCCAGTGTGCAACACTGCGGCTCTTTTTGGGGGACTAACCCCACCCCGCCAGCCCCACTCCTGCTGCCAGAGCCAGAAGACGCCCAGGGAGCGGGAGCTGCCTGGGAACTACGCCCACTCAGGCTAAGGCAGCCCTCAGCCTCTGACTGATGGGCAGCTGAGATGACCGTCCCCAGAGCTCCCTGGGGGACTGAGTCAGTTTCCTGTGTTCCACTTTGCTGACTGCCTTTCCTTCCTGGTCCATGCCCCTTCCGGCTTTTCCTGGGCACACTTCCGATACTTCCTACTAATTATGTTCACACGAACCCTTGTCTCAGGATTGGCTTCTGCAGATCCAGCCCAAGACAGTGGTTGTCCCTGAATTGTGGAATTATGCATGATTTTCATCACTGCTTATTTACAATTTCTAATTTCTCCCTATCGAACATGTATGTCTTACATAACAACAACAGCAAAAAACAAAACAAACAATGTGAAAGACGGAGAGAGATGTGACGGCCAGAGATCAGCACCTCACTCTTCTTTTGGTACAACCCTCTCCTCTCAACACACACGGAAGCATGTGACCGTGCACAGGTCTGGCCCAGGTAGGAATAGGACCAGGGCTGTGTCCAGAAGGACCAGTGTGGTGGGGAGGGGAGTTATAGCCAGAGGATAGTGGGGCTCAAGGAACCACAGGGAGGCCCAGGGCTCCTGCCTCTTTTCCCAGATGAGGGAACAGAGGCCCAGAGATGGGGAGGGACTTGGCTGAGGCCTCAAGGTCACTGACAGCTGGGAAGAGAGTGATGGTTCTCCTGGTTCCCAGTCCAGCAGCCCTACCACTCTTTGCTCCATGCTGGGGATGAACTGGCCCCAGAACAGGAGAGAGACCCTCCTTCCAGACTAACAGAGCCTGGGCCAGCAGGAGATTGCCATCAGAGCAGGCAGGAGCCAATGGGGCCGGGGCAATGATGTGCGGCGTGGAGTGCGCATGTGGTCCCCAGTGCCGATGGCGGAGCGAGGTCCCATCTGAGAACATGAGTATTTGGGTTCTGATCCATCATTGCCACTCAGATCAGCCTCAGCTTCTCCCTGGGTTAGTGGGGAATTAGCTGGATGGAAATGAAGGGGCTTCTCTTGGTATAAGCAGAAATGGTGGCCCGAGTGGCAGACAACTATGAGGTGAGTGGGGTGGCAGAATAGTGGGGAGGAGATGTCTCTGGGGGTGAAGCTTTCTCTACTTCCCTGCTCTTGGGGCCCCTGTAGTTCTGCTAGGTCATCAAATTTTCATGTCCAGACACCCAGAACCCAATATGCAAACTAGCATGCCCACTCCAGAGCACAGCTGCTCACAAGCCAGAACCTTCTAAGTCTGGCTTCACCAAGAACTTGGCTGGGGAGATCCTGGGTGGGGTGGGTGGG